TTTTTTTTCTTGATTATTATGTTTTGCTCTGCAATACATGTTTATACAGATCGGTTCACAGACATGGGCATCATTGTCATTCGTCCCCCCTGGCTGAGGTGCGAATTCCTCGCAGAGCTGCCGCTCGTGCTTATTTTCTGGTCATAAACAAAGGTGCTGGACAGTTCTATCTGAGCTTCGATACAAGGTAGCTTACAATCCCAATATCTTTTTCCTGAATTGGAAACAACGTACAGCAGTAAAAGTCGTTGAAATTGCATTGCAATACATCAAAATGTCTGTAGCAGGAGTTTGAACCAAAACTGCCAAGGGATATTTTAAAAATGTCGAGGAACAAGTCATTCGACGTCAAAGCAAAGTTTGGAGCAATTTATAGTGCTTCTAAAACTGAAAAGTACCTTTTAAAGAATAGCACGATAGGCAATCGGCTTCTGTTTTCAGAATTAGCAATCACTGAATTTACTTGTCCTGAAAATTCAAACTGGTGTCTCCTTCTTCCTGATAGTAATTTATTTTTGAAATTCCAAAACAATTTCACAGCTGAATTTTGAGCCACTTTTAGTTACGGACTTCTGCTCCAACGATTTTTCTGAAATTCCTCTGGCATATTTATTATATCAATTAAAGTCGATACCAGAAATTTCAGTAAAAAATATCAGCGAAATTTTTTACTAGAGGCGATTTTCTTTGAACAGTAGGGTCCTTTTAAGCGCTAATTTCTCAAGAAATATTTACCATCAATGAAATCGGAATATTTCGTTTTATTGCGGAATGGTATCTGTTGTTTTTTGTAAAGTTTCGCAGCCATCGCGTTAAAATCGAAAAAGTTACGACGGAAAATTTGTCACAGCTAAATGCTCTTGTATTAATTACGGAGCCACCTTAATACTAGCTACTTTCTTTTTATATCATTTGTGACAACACTGTTGAGGGTTTGATTTTAAAAGGGTTCATCGTAGATCTGGTATCTCTAGACGAAGTGAATGTAATGTGGGAGGCCCTTGTAGCAATCCTATAGATTCTCCATTTTTTGCCGCGTTTTCTTTTTTTGTGTTACATTTAATGAAAGGAGGCAAGCATTGTGCTTAAAGTAGTACTCTAAAAACATTAATTACCGATTACGTGATACAAAAAGCCACCTTTCCTATCAGACAGGTGCAGTGTCCTTTCAGTAGTAGATTTTTCTGAAACATCACCACGGCTGGACGCGTCGTCGCGTAGCTAGAATTCCCTGCCCAGTGAGGTCACCAAAAAATTTCCTTCAGCTTAGACTTGGTTAGCGTCCACTTTGCACTGTTTAGCTCTTTGTATCTTGAACTCGTGTCAGTTTCTGTTTCGCTGTCTTGTTTATTCGTGTTTTTGTTGTTGTGGCATGTGAGTCAGATATACATGTGTTACAGTCGATAGACCGCGCTTGGATCAATCATCTAAAATAGCTTTTCACGATTTGAATGGCCTCTTGTGTGTTCGACGGGGTCTTTTATTATTCTAAGACATTTCTGAATAAGGCTGAGATCTTTGCAGCTGTGGTTGAACCATACATAGTTGTGCTTTATTCTTGATAAAATGTATTTACTTTTTACCAATCCCTTAACCATGTTAGAAGCTTTGTGAATCTAACTTCCTTTAAAACAAAATATGGCTGAATTTTCTACAATTCAGACAGTGGGACATCAAGACAAGGGAACATCAAGCCATCAAGCCCGTCCAATGTTGGTTTAGCTTTTGGATTATGTCTTGGTACCCTCTCACTGGTTACTTGCGCGGTCATAGGAAAGCTGTGGTATAAAACGTCAAGACGTTATAAAAAGGTAAACGTTTACGCCTTTCACACGTGCCTCTGTAACAAAAACAACAGGAAGCATGAAATACTACCATATTTTAAACTTATTTTTACGTGGATGACAAGAATAGTATAATAGCCGAAAACCGAGTGTAGCTAAATGTCGTGGGTCGTGGGTCGTGGGTCGTGGGTGTGGGTGTGGGCAATTGTCGTGGGTAAAAAAAAGTCTTCAAAAAAAAATTAAAAAATTAAATGGCAAAAAGTTGTAAAATTCATGAAACGAAAATCCATTCCCTATTCCCTATTCCTATTCCCCTTCCCCGCGGTCAGCAAAGCAAATAACCGAATCCTCTAGCACAAACGGACACTAAAAAGACATATAGGTGAAAAATAAAAGAAACTCTGTGCACTATGTAAACCTGAAGCAGGCCGTATAGAAAAACAGGAGACTGAACTGCTTTTTCTCAAAGATGTCAACATTTGTGACTGAAACGTCCTTTCCGTTTAAGGAGTGATATTTCGAATCGTTACAGCAAAGATTTTGTACACAAAACAAAACAAAAAGTAATCGAGAAAATTGTATTTCCGTAGGGCGATAAAATTGACATACAGTCTCGCCTTAACTTGAAAGGTTGGGAATGAAGACGGTTCCTTCGTAAGGTAAAAGACCTACAACGTCTATCCAAAAATATGGAATACCTAAAAATTGTCCTTTTCCCCTTCCCTTTCTCACGGTGATCGCATTCCATCGTGATAAAAAATCTCCACTGACAGGAGCCCACTGCCACCGATCATTGGAATTGTACTATCAAATAAAGATAAATAGTGAGCAGCTATTTCCATTCAGCGAGTCAGAGCTGTCCCATGCTTTCTGCAAACTGCAGGTACAATTTACGTCTGTTTCGTTTATTTCGCGGCGATAGCTCAGGTATGGATAAATCTTCGTCGGCAAAATGTCTTTTATACAGTGATGTTGTGAATGGGGAGCCAAGTCCCACGGGAAGAGGACGAAGAAGTAGGCAATCAAGGAGTTGGAGATTTTCGCTTCACAAATATTTTACAACTTTTTTCTACTTATTCCTTTTTTTCAATTACTTTACTTTGTCACTTTTTTCTATACTTTTTTTACCCACGACATTTTCCCACACCCACACCCACCACCCACGACCTCTACCCACTACCCACGACCCACGACATTTAGCTACACTCCAGAAAACCCAGTCGGATTAACTTAAAGAGACAAACAGGCTGTGTGGTTTCATTCATGGCGGCTGAAGGAAAGAAATTAATGAAAGTGTATATTAGGTACTGAACACGGAAATTAAAGTTGTTGATGACAGAGTGACAGTGTATACTGCTGGGAATAATTCATCGAGAAGCGAGCGGAAGTGAGCTAGGTTAATAAATCTGTCGGAATTTGCTTCCCCCGTGGCTCTCACGAAATAGCCAAGCGAAGTGTCATCTTGCTTTGGTCATAAATCTTTCTATCGGTTTGGTATCCAGAGTTGCCTAGCAACGATGTCGCGACTAAGCTCCAATTAACGTCATTCAGTCTGACGTCTCGTCTCAGTAGGTGCATTTTTCGGTTTCCAGGCAACACTTCCTTGGAGCCGGTTGACGTCAAGGAGCATAGACCAATTCGGCTAGCCTTCGTAGCAAGCGTTTCTGTGCGTTTTAGGAGCAAAGAACGAGGGAAGTCAAAGATCGCGGGAAAAATGGCGTAAGTTAAAGAGCGGGGAGGGGGTAGGGAAGAAAGGAAGGAAACGCTTGCAGACAAACCCCTCGATTTTGAAAACCGCCCACTTGGCCTGTCATGATTGGTTCGACTAGCCGAGCAAATCAGGCGCTGCGTTCGCTGGAGAACGCAGGTTTTCCAAATCTAGGGGTTTGTCTGCAAGCGTTTCCTTTCTTCCCCTCCCCCTCCCCCCCTCTTTCATTTTTTGGCTATCGTTTCATTTCTCGCGCGGTCAAAACCGAAAATCCCGTTCCTCGGTCTTTTTTTGCTCCGAAACTAAACGGAAACGCTTGCTACGCAGTCTACAATTCGGCTAACTCAATGTTGTACCCAATTCATACCCTTTGGGAATAAAACTTTTTGTCTCAGGAATTTCCATATCAGTTAAATGTGAATGCCACCTTATAATGCAAATACAGTGCACAAAGAATCTTAACCCCGAGAGATCTGAATTGGGTACAACATTGCGTTAGCCGAATTGTTCTATTGGCGGGGGCACCCAACGACGGTTTCCTCAATGCATTGAAAACACTTTTTAGGCTATCCAGAATACTTTTAGATCTCTACAAATACATTATAAGCGGCGCTTTAAGATTTGTATCTGTACTTTTAGATCTCTAGAAATACATTATAAGCGGCGCTATAAGATTTGTATCTGTTCGGTCGTCCTAGGGCAACTTGAGTCTTTTCGAAATTACAAGGGCCTCCGTACTATTTTCCCGAAAATTTTAGATGTAATTTTAAGTTTTACGAAAGTGAGAATTTTTCTGATTCCTCCCTCCATCGCCTGTTTGAATACGAAAATTTTAGGTTTCGTTTTTCTACCAGAAAAAAGGCTAACTTGGGTACTGAAATGCGAAAAATTATAATTTAGAAAATCCTAGGGAATTTATTAGACAATTTACGAAAATTGTACATGAATGGAACTGTAATCTAGAACTTTTTAGCCTTCCCCAAGCTGTAGTAAAAAAAATTCCCATTAGCGAAAATTTCACACAACTGATTTCAAACCCAACGACCCTTTTCTGAGGGTACCAGGCTGACTGGTTACGCGTACGCGAGCACTATGAGCGCGCGCATCGGACAGTGATCATGCTGACTAAACAGGTGGTGACTCATGACTCCGAGGACTGACCGACTGTGTGAATAGCGCCTGTCAGGCCTGTGTATCGGTCGATGGACACTCAATAAGTGCCGTGCGAATTGAGATCGGCAGAGTACAAGACGTTTAAAATCACTTAAATGCCTTTTCTTTTCTTCTTATTTTTTTATTATAGTTATTCTTATTATTTCTATACATTCTACGTCGCCCTAGAAAATTCGAAGACATTCCCACAATAGATAAAGTTTTCGGAGAAAATTTGAAAGGACCCCTAAAAATTTCGGCTAAGGGAAAAGCTCGTCCGGTAATCTTTCGTTTTTGGAAAGCTTTCACTGTAAGCCGCTATTTTCGGGAAAGGCGATAAACAGCCCTAAAAAATTCGAGAGGTTCAAAGCAGTCCTAGGATGACCGAACAGATCAAATTTTTTTAGCGATGCGAATTATTCATTTATATTGCTTTTAAAGCACTCCAGGATGCATAACGAGGCATTTCAGGTCTTTTCCCAGAAAACGGTCGTTGGGTGCCCCTGATTAATTTCGACCGCAAAAGCATTTTACAGATAACATTGGAGCAACTTGGACCATTACGGCTTTATAGGTCGCGGGATATGTTTGTTTTTCGGAAGTGTGTTTCAGTTCGGCTTTTTATATATTTATATTACCGTCAAAACCTTGCTTTTCCCTGACATCATGATCTGTACCTTTGTAATTCATGTTACACCGAGGGAAACCCACAATGAATTGGTTCTTTCCCCGCCGATTGATGTGACCGATGGATCAAATCAACGACGCTGAATCAAAAACTGGCCGGTTCCAGCTCTGCTCCGTACCGCATTGATCGGCCGTTAAGCACGAGGTCGAATTAGCACCGAATTAATGCAAAATGGGCTTTGAAATGCTCGTTTCAGCTAATTTTCCTCAAATATATCTTTGAATTCACGATAAATACAGCTCCACAAGCTTCGAACGGTGTGTATGGCAGAGAAAACTGCTTGAAGTGTAATAATCTTACTACGTCAACATTTATTCAGCGCCAGCGTGGCCCAGTGGTCTGAGGATGCACTCTCGCGCAGGAGGCCGGTTATTGTGTAGCTTCAATTAAATCTCCGCATGGATATTTTTGTTTTCTTTGCACATTTTTTAAAATCACTTTTTTATCTGGGCGACCCTTGGCGAGCCCAGTTTAAGAAATGGGTTTCATTTTTTCTCGGGAGGGCGGCGGGAGTATTTCCTGGTAAGTCGTGGTGGGGTGAGCCGTGCGCCTCATCTAATGTTTACACTATTTCAGAGCAATATCTATAAGGTTCATGTGAGAGAGTTACTCTCCCGGGAAAAAACGGGGAGCCTGTTGAAGACATCCTGTCCCCCTCAACTGACCTTTGGATCCCCAATTTAGAGCGGCATCACTCCATACCATACCGATGCTAACCTTTATCTGAACAAATAATGAGGCCTCAAGTTTACAAAAATATAGCTGATTTGTTGGTATACTACTTACTTTATTTTTTCTAAGGTGTAACGTAAATGGTTGAGAGAGGGTCTATTTTTGTTTAATTTTCGCCATATGTTTGAACTTGAAATCAGATTTAATTGGTGACTTGGAAGATTGTGCGGTAATTTGTCAAGTCATGCTATTTGGGAGCTTAGATGTTTGATGTCTGGGCCTTGCATGAATTTACACTTTGAAAGTTAATGATTAATTTCCGTTTGTTTGTTATTAATAGCAACACGTCATTGAACCTCCAAGTGGTATGACTGCAAGAAATTCTATGGGGGAAGAGATTGATGCTATGTTTACACCTGATCACGAAGACAACAGTAACGGTATTATAGATTCTGTTGAAGAGGAAGGAATAGTACAGCTCCTTGGCGACACAACCGAAATATCCTCTGTATCAAGGCCGTCTGCCGGTACTTAAAGAACGTTTGATCCTTAAAACCAACTTTTGACAACAGCGTTTAACAAAAAAATGTCATTACTACTCATGCATGGTGGCAGCAATGGGGAAATTTAAAAGAAACATTGCATTTTTAATTCATATATTGCGTGGCTCAGGCTTGTTTGAATTTAAGTGGTACAATGCCCACAAATTGCTCTGCTTTAGAGTTGCCCTGCCGCCTGCATTTTTTTTTTCAGAGCAAAATTATTCCGGAAAAAATTATGTTTTAAGGGAAAGTACAAAATCTCCCTAAGAGAGTAGCAATAGAATCGAAGTCAATGCCGTTAATTTGGAAAGATATTTGATTTGTGCAACGATCGTTGCTACAAGAGTAACAAGGAAATAAAATGGACTTTAAAGTCGTTTCTTTTTTGATGTCGATAACCAATTCCGTGCACGTGTAGACTGGAAAATAAGAAACTATTTTGATCCAGTTGGTTGAATTACAAAACCTTCCTCACCATTTACCAGCTTCTCCCAGCTTTTCGTCGTAAATATTTCAGATTTTTAAGCTTAAAACG